GACATCTTTAACCGCTTGATGATAAAATCTTGGCTCAAAATTGGTTGTGATGGCTGCCAAGAAAGCTTGATGACCTGGTGAGAACTTTGTGTAATCAACATATTGAGCTAAGTCATAAGACGTACCTGAGAATGGTGATGGATTGGCTGAACTTGCAGAGGGACTTGCACTTTGAACTGCATAAGTCACACAATCCTTCAGCCGTGTAGAGACTTTCTTGGAACGAAGGCCACGACCAAGTGCTGTCACACCTTCTACTGTCTCTACGTTCTCCATTCGAGGTTCAATTGTTACACCTCCCTGCCTTACGTTGGCATTGTCATTCGGCACACAATCTAAACGTTCATGAGTTTCACGAACATGAGCAAGCTGCTCCTTTTCCTTGTCTCTTGTCTGACCGACTACCTCTTCTTCAAGGTAATCATCTATTGAATTATCCGTACAGGTTCGAACATGATCAGGTGTGTGGTCAACTGCACATGGAAACTCATCTTCACAAAATACAACATCCCGAGACACGAAATACTTTCGTGTTTCTAAATCATACAACCGCCAACCTTTCTGTCCAAACGGATAACCCACAAAGATACACTTCCGGCTTCGAGGAGCAAATTTGTCCTTCGTACGATTCAAACTCTGTGCATAACACAAGCAACCAAATGTACGAATTGACCGATAATCAGGCAAGTGACCATATAGCATTTCATAAGGTGTTTTTCCTCCTAGTAATTGAGAAGGGGTACGATTAATCAGATATCCAGCAGTTAACACACATTCTCCCCAAAATCTGATTGGTAAGTTGGCCTGAAATCGTAAAGCTCTAGCCACATTCAGTATATGTCGATGCTTTCTTTCCACTCGTCCATTCTGTTGGGGCGTTCCCACACATGAAGTTTGATGGATTATCCCTTTAGCAGAGAAATATCCCTTCAAACTGACGAACTCACTGCCATTATCACTACGAACTATCTTAACATTCTTAACAAATTGTCGTTGAACCATAGCAACAAAATTTGGCAAAATATGGCCAACTTCAGTTTTATCTATCATCAAATATATCCACACACATCTGGAAAAATCATCAACAATCGTAAGAAAATAAGATGCATTACAAGAACTCGAGACTCGATATGGTCCCCACAAGTCACAATGAATCAATTCAAATGTTTCACTAGCTCTACTATCACTAGAACAAAATACTTCTCTCGTTTGCTTAGCTTTAAAACAAGCATCACAAGTTTCATTTGAACCTAATTGAATCTTAACCCCAGAAATTAAACCTACGACCTTTGAAGACGGGTGCCCCATTCTCCGATGCCAAAGATCACATGAATCCAACGTCCGAGTTTGAAGTGCTTGGACTGGCGTCTTCTTTTTGAAGTAATAAAGCCCCTTGCATCGTTCACCCGCTCCAATCACCATCCTCGAAGTGCGGTCCTGTATCAAACAAAGCTTATCAGTGAACAACACATTACATTTTGAGTCATCAACCAATTGTGATACTGAGATTAAATTGCAATGTAATCCCGGAGCATGAAGAACATTGTCTAATTGAATATTTTGTCCCATCCGAATCGACCCTTTTTGCAATGCCAGCACCTGTTCTCCATTAGGCAAGCCAATGGGACAGCCTAATATCTGGTTCAAGCTAGATAGATAGCTCGAATTTCCTGTCATATGTTGTGTAGCGCCAGAATCAATTATCCAGATAAAATTTTCCTTACCAGTCATCTTCTCATTACTCCCTGATTCTGAGTTGCAAGCGTTCAACAAACTCACAACTGCTGCCCATTGTTCATTTGTCAGTCCTTTAGGAGTAGCAAAATCCTTTGTTGCAGCAGTGGATTCTTCAATTACTTGAGCTGCATTAACTCGTGCCCCATTTCGTCCTCTTCCTGACATCTTGCCACGTCCTCTTCCTCCAGTCTGTCTTCCTCGACCTGAACCAGACATTTTAGGTCGATCACCCCACCAATCGGGATATCCAATCAGCTGAAAACATCCATCAGCATCATGCCCTTCGCGATTGCAGTATTTACAAACGGCACTCCTATCCTTGATTCCTGTTTTGGCCTGAACCACAAAGCTAGCCGCTTCGTTGTTAATCTCTTTTTCCCTGGAGATATTTCGAACCCTTTCTTCTTGGCACATCAAGGAATACGCCTTGCTCACACCAGGCAATGGAGTTGTGCTCAAAATGTTTGATCTCACTGTTCTATATGCATCGTCTAACCCCATCAGAAATTGGTGAAGTTTTTCTTCTTCTCGTTTCTTTGTTAATTCAGTTGCCACATTACACGTACAACCCCCACACTTGCACGTAGAGATTGCGTCATAATTCACCAGTTCTTCCCACAGTCGCTTCAATTTAGCATAGTAACTCATAAGGGAGAGTCCTTGCTGTTTGCAATTTGCTAATTCTGTCTTCAGTTGCTGTACTCGTGCACCATCAGTCACTGAGAAACATTCTTTAATGTCTTCCCACAAGTTCTTTGCAATCTCCCTGTGTGTCAAAGTAGATCGCACCGTTGGCTCAATCGTATTCATCATCCACGATATAAGCATGGAATTCACTGTCCACCAGTCTTCTAATTCATCGGAATCTTCATCTGGCTGTGCTATGGTTCCATCAATGAATCCGAATTTCTTCTTGGCCCTGAGAGCAGTTCGGATTGCTCTAGCCCATTCATCGTAATTATCCTCCTTCAACTGTACCTGGGTGATTATATTTCCAGGATTATCATTGGCATACAAGGTGTATGGCGACACTATTTTCTTTCCATCTCCTTCCATGTTTTTCCAGTTGACAGAAGGTTCTTGCTCTGATACCATGAAAAGGTTTCAGCGGAAGAAGTTTTCATTCCTGTTTCTTACGCATTCGTCAAGGATATATATACATACAGCCCAAACCGTGGATATCGCTACCGATAGCTACTGATCCTATTTGAATACAAGTATAGCTAAGGATAACACCTAATCAGCTAGATATCTCTTTACCAATTCAAACTGATAACCAACTCTGTTACAGAGATATACATTAACTCTGTTACAGAGATATACATTATCCCTAATAATAACGAAAACCAAGTCAATGGATTTTACAATCGATAACGAAATCTTACCGTAGTAGGAGTATTTGAAGAAGAAGAACACAAGGGAGCATAGATATTGTAATAATCAATATTGCCTATAGCTGAATCTGCTTGGTCCTCGTTTGTCTGACAAGCATCTGATGTATTTCCTGAAGAAAAATTGCAATTGGAAAATATACCCTGATGAATTTCATCAGATATCAGAGCATGGGTCCAGTAATAATCATAAGTCCCACTGCCTTGTGTTTCAATATCAACGTATGGATTCCCAATCTGAAAATCATGGACGATATTTAACCACCATTCGGTGTGAAAAGAAGCCCGTCAAACTGTTGAAAGTTCAAGAAAGAAAAAACTTACAGCAATTCCTTTCAAGTTAATGACAGTTTGGTTCGTTATCTCATTGTTATGGAGAATCAGTTGAGCAAGCTGAGGCACGTAATGACCAGCATAGCTTTCTCCAGTTATCAAGAAGTCTCTGGTTTTGTACTCAGGGAACCTTTCCAGCCAGTTGACTAGAAATGTATAGGAATCTGCTGCAGTTTTTGTATCTCCGGTAATGTAATCTGAGGATGTGTTGGAGTAAGAAAATCCAACACCAGCTGGAGATTCCAAGAAGAGTACGTTTGCCACTACATTGGACAACACAAAACTGGCAGAGTTAATTGTGAATTCATCAAAATTTTGATGACGATTACTCCAATTAATTGATCAAATTTTTACCAGTGTTCCAGGCATATGGATTAAGCCAGAGGGTGCTTCCATCTTTATTGACTCGGAAAGGTCCCAATTCAGTCATTGCTCCAGCTCCAATTGAGGAGCATCCAGGTCCTATTTTCGGTTACAGACTTTTGTCACCTTAACTACTACTCTTCAAACAATAGCCTCTCTACAGAATGCTAATCACAAAATTTCAAATAGAAATACGTACCTCCATTTAGCCACAAAACCAGAGGCTTGGCCGAAGAGTTTTGGGATTCGGCAAAATAGTAAAAGAGAGCTCGACCAGCTTTAGGATCAACTGTGACATACCCTGAATACTGATCAAAATTTACTGCATTTGGCTGTCCTGGCAATGTTGTGATCCTGTCAGCTTCCTTCAACCCTTCTTGAGGGCCAACATAAACTGGCGAATACTCATTTCCCAATTCCTCAGTCACATAATTCACTGATCTTTTCGAGCTTCTTCGAGCCTTGAGGTGCTTCAAAAGAGGGTCATGCTTTTTTCCTGCAAAACATTGCACAGATGCCACTAGGCATACAAAAATGAGAAGAGGTAACACTAATGCACCTTTCATCCTTTAGGTGTAAAATTAGAATCCTGATATTTTTCACCAATGCAATTAATGTATGTGTTTTATAGGCAGCTCTGAAGAAGAAATGTCGAATTTATCGTCCTCCTTTCTTCTTGTTCTTGTCACATTCACAATCATGTGGCATTTCCAAGGTTTGTTTTCATCGCAAAAAAACTGTCTCATTCCATTAGTGTAACTTTATTTGATTTTAAATATGTCGACCCAAGAAAGGTTATTGACATCTACAGAAGAGATTACTAAAAAAGAAGATCATGACATTGAAGGTGTCAACTAGGCAGACAATTACGATGAATCGATCTATCCCACACGAATTTGGAGCTCAATAATTCCCAAACGAATTTGAAGCCAGACGAATTTTGGCTTTATTATTATTTTTTTAATTTTTTCGAATAGTAGAACAAAAGATGGTTTTTCATTTATTGAACACCAGAAATTGTTACTAACTATTTATTCTCTATTTCAGACCCTAAACTTTTTATTTGGCCAAAAAAAACACATTGTTTTACTACTAAAATGATCACTCTGGCCATATAAAAATATTTAACAACCAAAACAGAAAATTTCAAACAGTGTTGTGACTATTTTTGCTATTTTCTCTGCTTGAAAATAGAAGAATTTTTTTTTTAAAAAAATAAGTTAAATACAAAACTTGGCTTCTCATTAGTCCCTAGCATAACTTTTGTTTAAGTAAAAAAAGAAATTTTTTTGTAAGATTAGCCTCTTGTAGAAGTAATTATGATCCACATGATTGATTTTAAAGTGGTTGATATTCTGATTAATTAATTAACATTGTGTCAATAATAAATTAGTATCTCCTATTTAATAATGATTGATTGATATTTTCTACTAATTGATATCTTATTCAATCATTTAAGCAATCAAATCAATTAATTAGTTAGAAACTATTATTTTGAGTTATGAATTATGACAAGATTTTCTCGACGGAAGGAAACCATAGAGATTTTGGTAGTAAGGGTCCTTAGTTTAGCCTATAAATAATCTTTGGTACTCTATTAATTAGCACTACACTCTCTGGTTAGGCATAGATTAGAAGATTCTTATTCTAAATTTCTCTTTTGTTTATCTCTTCTTCTACAAATTTTCTTTGTTAGTATAGAGAAGAAGAAAGTAAGAAGTTCAGGAGCGATATGGATTTAAGTTCTACCTAACAACAATGGCTGGAGATAAATTATTTAAATTTTCACTATTTAGTACAAGTTGTTCGTACTTATTTGTTTAACATGTGGATGTGGTATCAGGGTCACCCTCCAGCTATATGTTGTTTAACATATAATTTTATGGTTTATTGACAATCTGATAAAAGTTGCATAGATTCATAGAATATTAGATAAATCAAATCTAATTTGGCATGAGATCTATGTTTCTATTATTTCAATGATTGAGAATTAATGACTAATCCCATGTATATGTATCATTCTTGTGATGATTTATTTGGACATGCAATTTATTCGGGTTTGTTTAATCCAGTATGACTTGCTAATGATTTGAATATTTCTTGGACTCACATATTCTTAGTTGTGGATGTTATATGTATCGATACACATCATGATTATTGTTATCAACGTACTTTAACATTCTCAGAAACATATAATTGGACTTTGGCCATCCAATATGTAGTTATTTACATCTCACTTTTTGGTTGAAATGAGTATTCTTCAAGACAACTTGGTATGATTAATTTATATGATTGAGTGCATACATGTATAGTTAGTATGACATTTGATCAACAAAATCATTATGTAACATTCGCATGCTCATACTTGTATATGACAACATAACTATTTATGTCTTGTATGAATTATGATTAATATACTTATGCCTTTTGACTTTGCATCATATATACTAAAATATCATAAAGGTTGAACTTTGCTTTTGGGGCACTTTATGTTTATATGAGTTCTATTTAAGCAACTCCATGCCTCTTGAAATTGTGATTAATAATTGTCATCAGTAGTTTATTTATTTGCTGCACTTTTGTCTAATTATTTAAAAATATAAATTACAACATCTTTCAACTTTTAATTTTTGTCAATTATAAATTATTTAGATATTATCACAAAGATCTTTGCATCTTGTACTTAAAAGTGGCGACAACATCTTACATACTTGATATTTAGAATTTTAATTACATAAATGTTAAGCGATTAAATGAATAACATCTAATTAAGTAAATAATTAATTTGTTAAAATTTATCACTTAGCCCACAAGAAAGTGGTAGTTTTAATAAGATTAATTGAAATAAGATGGTAAATTTAACATTTTGTTAAGATATTTTCCTGGACTCACGGGTATGAAAAATTTTTATTTTTATAGTTTTAATTTACTAGTTTTATTATAAAGAAAGTAAATTCAATACATGTCTGGTAGCCTCTACCACGCGAAGATTTGAATTTATTATTTGAGTTAACATTGGTTAATTCAACCTTTATGTCTTAAATTCATAGCAACAATATATGTTTATTCTTGGATATTGCAATTTTTTTACTACTACTGTTTTTAATGATTCATCTCATATTCCAATGCTATTCGATAAAAACTACACCGAATGGAAGGACAAGATTCTTCTAACTTTGGGGTGCATAGATCTTGATTTGGCGTTTCATGAGAATGAACCACCCATTCCCATGAATCCTAGTTCGTCAAATGAAAAAGTTACTTATGAGCGGTGAGAGCCAAAGCATATCAGTCAAAGCATTAAGGGTTCAATCACTGATTGTGGTCGAGTCAAAACTTATATGAAGGCAATTGATGAACAATTTGTAAGTTTTGACAAGGTTTTGGCTAGCACCCTTATAAAGAAATTTGCAACCATGACACTTGATAAAAGCAAGAGTGTTTGCAAGCACATTATGGAAATGCGAGACATTGTTGCTAAACTGAAGTCCCTTAAAGTTGAGATTTTTGAGTTATTCCTTGTGCATTTCATTCTCAACTCTTTCCCATTGGAATATGCTCTGTTTAAGATCTCTTATAACACAACATAAAGAAAAACGGTCAATTAATGAATTCTTGACCATGTGTGTTCACATGGAGGAGAGATTGAAACATGAGACAAGTGTTCATCTTGTGACTCACGGTAAAGGAAAAGCAAAGAAAGGAAGAGTGTTCCTATAAAATGAGATGGCAATAAAGACAAATGCTATTTTTGCAAGAAGAAAGGGCACCGAAAGAAAAATTGCCTCAAATACAAGAAGTGACTTGAAAATAAAGCTAATCTCACCTTTGTGTGTCATGAATCTAACTTCGCTAAATTTTTTATAATACTTGGTGGATTGATTGCTAAAATTCACATGTTCAATACCAAGCAGGGCTTTCTGAACCTAAGGAAGTTGTTAGAAAGTGAACAAAGCATCTATTCTAAAAACTGGATGTGCTCAATTGTTGAAGGCGTGGGGATCTATAGACTTATTTTAAAAATTGATTTTCAATTAGATATTGAAAATACCTTCTATGTTCCATACTTTTCTAGAAATTTTATTTCTTTTCTAGATTATTTATTATTGGATATGATTTCAATTCTCATCTTTCAACCATGAATCTTTTGAAAAATAATAAAGTTATTGATTCTGCCAATTTAGATGGAATGTTTATACTTGAGTTAATCCTCACCTCTCTCTCCCTCCCTTCCCCTCCTCCCTCTCTCCCTCTCCTCTCTCCCCTCCTCCTTCTCCCCCTCACCCTTCCTCTCCCCTAATCTGGTCACATATCTAGTCGCGAGGGGAGAAGGGGAAGGGGAAGGGAGGGGGGAGAGTAGGAGGAGAAGGGAAGAGGAGAGGGAGAGAGGGAGGAGGTGAAGGGAGAGAGGAGAGAGAGGGAGGAGACGGAGGAGAGAGAAAAAAAATAAAAAATGACTCGTTGACCAGCACTTGCCGGCGATGGAGGTGCTATATTGTGGTGGGTGAGGAAGAAGAAGAAAAAAGAAGGAAAATTTTTTGTGTGTTTTTGGGTATTTTAAGGTGTGTATTTTAAAAAAATTTGAGAAAATTTTTGATCTTACTATAGTTAAAGTTGTTAAAAATTTTTGTAGAAGAAAATTTTGGCCAAAAACTTGCTTGCCAAACAAGCCCTTCTTTTCAATTGATATGTGTATACATATTGAGGATTTTTTTTTCTTTTTTCTCGTACACACTCCATCAAGGGTGTCAAAATCCCCTATTAGTGAGTTCACACATACATCATGAAAAATTATTAGTTTTTCAGCGCTAATAGTAGAATCTATGGCGTATAGTGCTGAAATTGATAAATCAAGGGCATTTTGCCAACCCCAAAAAAGTTTTTAGAAGTATTTTGCAATCAATACTAAATACCATTGTTCAAGGAATATTGTTTGTTTCTACATTTTTTTTTCAATATTTTGTTCCCTTCCGAATTACACGCTTTCTTTCTTGTTGTAATGCTCTCTGTCTCATAATTGAAAAGCATGCAAATATTGATTAATAGATAATATCTTGGGCAATGAATTACTAATAATCAGTGTTTTGAAACTTAGATTAGTCAATGACACGACAGAACTCAAGAATTGAGACTCAATGGGCTTAACGGGTTTGGAATCAGGGGCGGATTTAAAGTGGGGGCACGGGCCCCCACTGCCCCCTTTAAATTCCTAGGATACATCTACAATTTTGACATAATTTTACAGGTGCCCCCAGAATTTTTTTTAGAAAAAATATGAAAGAATGGATCACAAAATTTATATCATTCACTTTCCTCCTCTAGTTCCCATTTTCCCACCAACAGGGCCAAATACCAATTTTTTCTTTTTGCTTAAAAAATTAGAAAAAGAGTAGATAAAAAATTTTAATGTTATTTTTGCCCCCGCTAAAATTTTTTTCTGGCTCCGCCCCTGTTTGGAATTGAAGAATCGGATGATGTCATACATATATATTGATT